AATACTAACGTCGCCAGACGTACAGAGACGCCAGGGAAAAGTGGTGAATATTCATGAGACGTATAATCTTGTATGTCACACAAACGCGCTGCTTAAACACGACGAATTCGAACGCGATTCGCGATCTGTCGTAACAATGTCCTTTAACAGCCGATATATGTTCGACAGCGACAGCGACTATGCGAATAAATCAGTAAACCGAAGTAAACCATGATGACGTTACGTTAATGAGATTGACATATTTAAATCTGAATGTAGGTTAAGCAGTAATGACAGCAATGAAAGAGACACGGCAAATCAGACACACAAGAATTGGAAAAGAGAAACTTCTCGAGACTACTTTATCTATAACGGATCACTTTTATATGACATTCTCTTTATACCGTATTTATGCAACCATTCACGGAGTCTTTCTTTGCAGTGCAAAAAAGAAACTCACGGAACATACTGAGAGAAATTTTAGTATATAAAATTTTTTAATTGCAATGTGTGCAATTTATATTGTTGATATGTGACTTACAAAAACTTTCTTACTTTGTAATTAAAAAATTTTATTGTGCTACTCATTTGATACGAATAATTAAATTTTGATTAAATAAATAAAATTTTTTTTAAATAAATAAAATTTTTAATTAAAAAATAAGAAAATTTTTGTAAGTCACATATCAACGAAATAAATGATAATTCATATCAAACACTTCTCTCGATGCTTCCCCAGGATGCGATATAACAGATTCTCGAGAATCTCGCGGTTTTTAGTGTCGAACAAACATGACCCATCGATCGAGATAATCGCGCGAAATAGTAACGAGAGGGGGGAAAGGAGGCAGTGAGATAGAGAAGATTTATTCGTCTGGGACAGTTAGATGTGCCTCGGTAAAAAAAAAGTGTACATGAAGCTGGTATGAGCCACGATTACAGTTAGTCACGAGAACCGGCGAGTGTGTACTTGCACACGGTGGAGTTAAACGGTATTTCCTCGTTTTTTGTCAAAAAATTCAACGGACATCACGAAGCGCGAGCTACCCGATTCACGGTCGATGTGTCACGTCGAGATGCTAATCTTCGCTGCTTCATCAGACGTAGCTCTTGATATTCATTATTCAAATGACAGGGCACTGACGATAACGCTCGAATCGGGAAGCGATTGCAGCGCAATGTAATGAGATTTCGATTATCGAACGGATAATCAAAATACTCACTGTCGTTTCGCGGGGAAACGATTGACTCGATATGCGAGAAACAAGTGGATTCATGTTCGATAAAACGATAACGGGGTAGTATGACTCAGTGTAGCATATCAAATTGATTTTTCACACAATCTCTACGAAACGTACTAGAAAATACATACCTATCAACGCAATAAAATCTTATTGCTGAAGAAATTTAATATCGATTACTTAAAGGAATGAGGAAAAGGAAATGAATAGTAATAGCATGCGGAGAGAATATTGGCGAATAAAAAATTTCGTATTTGTGTTGGAAACGGTCCATGTGAGTTCTAGTTAAACTTTTGTGGTGAATTTTTTACCATGTTCGAGTGTTAATTTAATTAAGTTATTTAAATAGTTTGCGTTAAATTAATATTCAACATTTTTTAGCGTTAAAAGAACACAATTTATGAGTGAGTGAACAAACAACATAAAAATGTATTTTAAAACATAAATTGTAAGATAAATAAAATATGTATGTTATAATTGAATATACGTAAATGTTAATTTTACTGGAAAAAACGCTTTCATGATTTATTTACAAACTGTGTCAGCCTTATCTTTTTTGTGTGTATTTTTTAAATAATATTTATCCAGAGTGTACCAGTTATCTTCTAACATATTCATTTTATGTTAAATTAAATATATAAATTTGAGTGGACCATTTGAAACGCTTGAAATATGTTAAATTTAACACAAATTTTCTAACGGTGAATTATTCGTAGAACTAAGATTGCTTTGAACCAAAATTTTTACACTGCTTGCGAGTCAAAATGTCTTTATAGCGAAGAAAGGTGCTCGCTCGAGTAATCGAGATAAGTGACGCCTTAAACCGACACGAAATGGTTGAAAACGAGAGATCGAAAGAGGAGCAAGAACTTGTCGAAGGGAAATGAAAAGAAGGAGAGGGTGGTAGTAACGTGCGCTCTCTCTCTCACATGTCATCATATCTGGTGCATGACAGCTGCCGCCTCTTGCTCAATCGGAGAAATATCAAGTCTATTAGCGGGAAATGTATTTCGAGATATAAACCGCTACACGCTTATGAGATCCGAATTGAGAAAAGAGAGAGAAAGAGAGAAAAAGAGATACGAAAACTTGGCAAAATTGATATCCTGCAAAATACTGCTACGAATTTTTTGAGTAGAGGTACCTCAGTCGGGAAAGTTCGACAAAAATTATCGGAAAAGTTCATTTTAGTTTGGATAAAATAAAAAAATACGAATCTATAAATAACTTAAAATAAAAATATAATGAGAATAATAAGATTATTTTTAAGCAAACATTTTTTTTAAATTTGAAGTTCCAAAATGATAAATGAATCGTAATGTATATAATATATATCATGTAATTATAATGAAATCAATATAATTGAAAAACTTAGTTCAACGAAGTAGACAGGAACACCCAGAGAAAAGTTTCTTCGATTTAAAAAAATATTTCTTTGCTATGGTTAAAGAAAAGAATTTCTTTAATTTGAACATCATTTCTTTGATTTAAACATTATTTTTTGAAATTAAATAAAAAATGTTATTCGATTTAAAGAAATTATGTTCAAATCGAAGGAATTATTTTCTTTAATCATATAGCAAAGAAACATTTCTTTAAATCGAGAAACCTTTCTCTGAGTGAATAAAATTTCAAGCACACTGAAAGAAAAGATTGGCTGAATATAGCATAGCATTTTTCATTAATTGCAGCAGTCAATTTTTGATTGCGTTAGCCTATCGAATCTATCCTATACTGACATTGCGGATAAACTAACACAACCAAAAAATTGACTGCTGCAGCCAATTAAAAATGTTATTTTTCTTTCAGTGCATGAGCACGAAAAAAACAAATTCATTCCGTGTTGCTCTGGTCTCTGTAATGTTAACGCACTTTGCAAGCGCTAATCCGTCAACACCGTAATATGGAATTAATCACACTGTATCAGTTTAGAACGCATCTTGTGTAACTCCATGATTATCGACTATCAAGCCGATACGCGCGCTTGAGTGGTCATTGAAGCGACGCGATGATCTTGCGAAGAGGAATTCAGTGCGCTGATTCTCGCGTTCATGAGTTATAACTACGAGCAGGAAATCGATCGTTATCAAAGATAGATCGTTCACGGGCCTTGAGGCGAGGTAACATTTCGCCTAGGTCATGTCCAGAATAGTCAATCCCGGACGTCGTAAAAGCGACACTTGACGCATTCGCGCGCCGCACGAAGTCCAACCTATACGCTCTTTTGTCCGGTGCCAAATAATTCCTGGGGGGGGGGGGGAGGACGTGGCAAAGAGCGTAACGACAGGAACGAGGAAATAAAAGGATGAAAAAAAAAGGCACACGCACTGTCGCATCCACTAAGTGCTAATGTAATCCACTAATTGCAATGTAATCTACTTTCTACAGGAATTTACACTTAATAAGATATTTTATACTGCTTTAGCGATATATGTCTGCATCTGAAATTAAAAGAAAATGTGGCATGGTGGCATATTAATACCGTTATTATAATTTCAGGAAATACAATATTACGATATACTGTACTGAAATAATTGAATACATCGATGCATTATTCTTAGTTACTTCATACGCATGATATTTTTTTTATAATAAACATGTCGATAAATATAGCTAACGCGATGCAAGAAGATGATACGTCGTCGCATTGATTACTTTCGACGAATTGATTAAGATTAATGATTAATTCGTTGGCGCGTGCAACCTTCGTCAGATGATTCGTCTCAGCGAAATAAGCTTCGGAATACCTACGACTTTTACGAGCAAATGCGTGATTCAGCACGCGCCCATTGTAAGCCGTTCACGTATAATCCGAACGAGATCATTGAGAAGTGGTCGATAATTGAGCGAGTGACTCACCGCAAAGCGATTCGAGAATGTCAATAATCAAACGAAGAGCGTGGCATTTAACGTGTCGATATTGAATTCGCCTCGCACTCGGGAAAAATAATTATACGTGAAACGATCGAAATAGCGTAATCAAGAAATCTCGTGGTCTGCCTAGTGATGGGTACACTCGTATATAATTCAAGGCGGAAATTGTATCATTCAATTGTGTCAATAGTATGGTTTTCTCGAGCAAAATACTCGTTAATAACAAAAACGTACGCTAATGTATTAATGTATGCCCCGTAATGAAAAATTATCGTTGTAAGAACTTCGAAGGCAAATATGATTATATCGCTGAAATCGAGGTAATCACCTGCGCAAACAATTGACCTAATTGAACTAATATGGTTGACATGGTTTTAAGGCAATATGCACCTATATATCATCAACACTTTAATGTCAAACTCCACTCATTTTTAATAATATTATCTTTAAATCGAATAATAAAAAAATGCTTAAAAACTCATAACAGGAATACATTTTTAACGCTAAAAAGAATATATGGAATACACTAAAGTTTTTGTTAATAATTTTATTTTTAAAAGAATTTTTCAAGTTTAGAACTAAAAAATAATATTGTGAAAAAACATCAAAGCGCTCCAAATTATTATTTTAAAATTACTTCGAATCACTATTATTTTCATCAGGACCTACATATTTTAGTTACGGTAATTAAAAATACTTGAGCTTCAAAAAATTTCATAACAAAGCTCACTTTTCTTATTCTATTACAGAATATAATATAAAAATTAATTTTTGTTATTCAATTTATAAGCCACAAATAAATATATATTTATCACACGATTAAAAATATAAATAACACTTCATTATTTCGGTTTACAAAACAAATTGACGAATAATAAAAATGAATGATTATTGACAAGGACTTACTTGCTCCTTGTCCTTTTCGGTAGCCTCATCTTTGTCCTTTTCTTTATCCTCGGCGGACTCCGTGTGCGGTGCTATGCCGTTGGTGGTAGGCTTCGTGTCGGCCTCCTCGATCCTCTCCAGCTTGCCGTCGCCAGGTGCGGCCGCATCGCCGACGACACCTCCTTCAGCGGGTACTCCCTCCTTCTTCGGCGTCGTCGTTATATCCACGGACCTCTTGCTCTGTCTCGCTCCCATGTTTGCTTTTTACCTTCTCGTGCCACCTGTCTTTATCTCACTTGCTTTCTGGATGCCAGGTGGTGTCCACCTAAATCGTCCTGTAATCAGAGCAAAAGAGTCGATTAAAATAAATAATACTTTGCTCAATTTTCCATTTTTGCAATTTTCCAAAACATGACGAAAAGTAAAACTAATATTTATAGCGTACAATTAAGATCGATAAAATTAAGATCGAAAGGAGAGACTGAGAGCAAGAGCTGACATATCTGTGTTCGTTTGGGTTCTGCAATTTGACGCAGTTACACGCGTCGATCTGCACAGCGGTTTCGCCGCGGATAAGTTCATCCATCTCGTGAATACGTTGAGGAGGGGGAGTAACTTTCACCTTAGCCAGAGATACTATATCAGAGATCCTCTCAGCGAATTTACTCCGTGTTGAACGTGAAGATCTGGTTATAAAGACAAACGAATCCGAAATATACAGCGATCGCGATTCGAAAACGACGTAACTTACATTCACCTGCGTCAGATTAATCTGATAAGAGAGATATATGTTTATCGATACGCAGCCGCGCCCTTCATAATTGATTGCGACTTTCGCGCAGGTGTTTCTCACTGTTCCGTTTTTTCCATTCTCTCGAAAAAACTTCTCGTTAAAAATTCATTTGTACCGTACACGACAATGTAGAACGGCTTGGACGATAATGAATCGTACGGAAGACAGTTCAGAACACAAAGAACAGCGTAACGGAAAAGCTCTTTCATCAGGAAACAACTAAGCATTGTTTTACCCAAGAATTCGTTTCTATTATGTGTATTCGGCTAAAATGCGAAAAAAGGAGCATGAAAAAATCAGTAAACGCGTGAAAGCATTTGTGTTAACAATATCAAGCTATACAAACAATATTTATGTACATATTGTAACGTTACATATAACTGAGTATATGCTGTATCATTGTGCGATGGATATAAATATCTAACGTTGATCACGAGCTTATTTCCGACGTTTTCCCAATTTAGAAATGAACTCATAAAGATGCCAAGTTCGAAAAATCCCGATGAATAGATTGCTTTTACTGCATTACTTATGACACTTCTTATTTTTTATTTTTTGGTGAACTTGTGATTACACTAACTTGATAATAGCATAAAAAAATATTTCTAGTTATGATTAGTCAATAAACTATATCCAGAAAAAGGTTTCTTCAATTCAGAAAAAATTTGTTAAATTTGTTGCTATACGGTTAAAGAAAAGTTTCTTTAATTTAAATGTCATTTTTTGTTGGAATGTATCAAATAAATTTTTATTTTTCTCAAAGATATTTTCGTTTTCATTTAAAAAGATTAACGAAAGAAACAATGCCTTCAATTTAAACATAATTTTTCTCTGGAGGTGATGATTTTGTAGGGTGAATAAAAGTTTTTAAAATTATCACTACACGAAAAGTACGATTTTCCTGTTATCTAAAAATTAAACTAAATATAAAGCTAAAAATAATTTTGTTAAATTATGCTGAACGTTCAAACTGCTTGTTAAAATAACACATTTTTTTACAGTATTCATGTTTGAATTTCCTGTATAATTATTTCGGTCCAACAAAATTATTTTTTATCTGTATCTATCTAAATTTTTGTTAGATACATTTTCTTTTTTAAGGAAACATCTAAAAATTTAATTACAGATCTAAAAATTTTGTTGAACTATTAAAGTGAATATTAAAATAATTATATAGGACATTCAAACATAATGAGAGCAATGCTACAAAAAAATGACGCATAATACGACGCAAAATCATTCTGTCCGTGTACAAAACTAGTAATTAGTGATTAATCATAGCTAGAAAAATACAATTTTTACATTATCAGGTTAAGTAAGATTAAGTTTAAATGCAAGTTAAAATAAAAAAATGAAAAATTGGGCGCCTCACTGTATTACCTGTGACACTCGAAAAAGAACAGAAATACACGTTGTCGTCACGATTCTGATTATCCTCGGAAAAGGAGAAAAATAACTCGTTGGAAGTGGTCGAGGAGAGCACAAGCGAGGATAACGGTATCGCGATGATGACTTCGCTAGTAACGAAAGCGGAAACGCGTGCGCTGTACCGAGGGAACGGCTGTGAAAAACTGGCACGACGAAGCGCGCTAAAAGCCAGGCTTACCTAGACCGCTCGTTTGTTGTGCGCGCGTTAACGCGCATTTAAACGACCACGTGGCTCGAGTGCTCACGCACGTATCGCCATCGTATGCGTACGCGCGAGCAGCTGACAGCCGTGATGCGTAACGCATCTGTGGTCGCGACGAACTTACACGAGGTCATCCTTTGTGTGCCAATCGATAAGGAAGCTCAAGAGAGAAAAATGGAAATGATAAATGATATGATTTGATTGGCCAAAGCAAATATATAGATGTAAGTAAATAAATTGAGTATAAGGAAAAACTTCGTTCGAATTTAAAATTCATTCGAATGAATTCTTTGATTTTTTTTTTTTGAAATATCAAAAATGGATTTTTTTATAATAAAAAAATGCTTTATTAGATATTAACTCTCTTTGAAGTCGTAAATACGAAAAATAAATATTTTATTTAAAAATAATAATGCTATTCTTTCAAGCCGCCGAGTCACTTTTATGAAAAAATGTTTCTCCTTTTTAAATTTTAAATATATTTATTTTGATATTTAACATATTGTTATAAAAATAATGTCATTTTGTTATTAATATTAATATGAAAATTAATTATCTCAATTAATTTTTAATTAAAATATTTAACATATTGTCATAAAAAATGTTTATAGAAGAGAGAGCTTTTATGTCAATATACAAAAATTAATTAAAATAATTTTTATATTAATAACAAAAATTTCTATAACATTTTTTTATAATAGTATGTTAAATATTACGATTGATAATTAGAACTTAATATAAAATTAATTAAAATAAAATTATTTTAACTGACTTTCATTAATGACAAAAATTCCAATAAATATTTTTTTATAACGATATTTTAAGTATTACAATTAGAATTATTTTTCCATAAAAATAACTCGGTTTAAATAACATTATTTTTTTTTAAATAAACAGTCTATTTTTAGTTTAGTTAATATCTATTTTGATATTTAAAAAAAAATCAAAGAATTCGTAAACAAAATTTTCTCTTACGCGCAATTTATTTGTTTTGTATTATAAAATAATTAAATATATTCTTTTTTATTCCTTGCAATAAATTATAGAGATGCGTCTATATCTTATATATGTAGAGTAAGATAAGTTCTATATATAACGGTGACAAATAAAGAATAAACCAATACATAAATGCTCTATCTATACTATTACATTTTTATTTCGATTTAAAATATGCAGTTTTCTGTACGCCGTGATCTATCTAATAATCTTTTGAACGTTTCTCCTCAACACTTCATGTTGATGTTTAAAAAATTGATAGAATCAAGTTCGAAAAGTCAATAATCCTATCAGCATGACGTATAAGCAACTCTCGCTTTTAGACATATCTATAACGTTTCGTCATGATTATATATTTACTTATATTATCTATATTTCCATTTTCAGATCAATTTATCGACAAGTCCTGAGTTTCGGTTATGCGTCCAACTTTGTGGAAACTTTGTGAATGCGATACCAATAATGTTTGAATTTCCATCGCACAGTTTCCGGATCTTCACCAAGAAAAAAAAAGTTTCATTAACGAACACAATTTTCATCGTGCAACGCAAGGCGGAATTGGCTTTCTGCTTTCTAGAGGCGATTCGTTTCTCGAATGAATTCGTCCAGCGCATTCCTCGCGCTACACACATCGCAGTTAAGTTACGCTGGACGAATGAAAGTCAGCGAGTGAACAGTTGCATTTAGCGCTAATTGAGCGATGAGAATATGTAAGTTGATTCCCTTTCGCGATTGAATTTCGTTTTGCGAAAACAAGAAACTGCACGCGTCAATGTGAAGTGAAGTCGCGAGTTGCGAAGCGACTGTGCCGGCTATATCACTGTCACCGCATAACGCCATTTGTTTCAAGGTATCCTATTCACGGTGCATTGCACCTCGTATACGTAGCTATGCACTATGTATCGGCTGACACACCACATGTCTAGCGTGCGTGACGGATACCGAGACGGAAACATGATGACACAATATTGTCATTTCCATGATAATTCCTCCTCGCAGCTTCACTCGCATATTTTTGACACATTCCATCATCACTCGATAACGTAATGTAAAAACTCCTGTATTAATTAAAATTATATAGAAAATCGACTAATTTTTGCCGTTTAAATATTTCTATATCTTTGAAAAAAAGGAGAAAAGTTAAATGGTTTAATTATTTACACATTATAGCAAAAGTCACAGAAAATCTAAAAAAAAATGTAATAAAAAACTCCGCATTAATTACAATTTAGGGGGAAAATTAGATCTCGATAAAATGTGTTAGTTTTCACATTATTATAATGTAAATTATAATTATGTAGTGAATAAAAAAAAAGATACCACACACAAATTTTATTCAATAGTGAATAATTTTCGAGCTACTCGGAGAAAGAGAGTGGTAGCAACTATAAAAATGACAGCTATAAAAGTTTTGTATTTAGTTAGAATTAAATACACACATATACATATAGTTAAATAAGCTATTTTATAGTTATTACAATTTAAATAATTTATTTCACTACATTATTAAATTATTCAGCTATCTAATTCTACTTATTACTTGTGTTGTTGTCCATCACTATGCCTTTTTGTGAGTACAAAGGTGCTCTATAAACACGAGTTTTACAACTTTGATACACTACAGTGAGAAAAAAAAGTTCAATAATTAAATAAATAAATTTTTTTTAGAGAAGAATGTATATTTAAGTCAAACATATTTCTCCAACGAAAGAAATAAAGACAAGCTAATTTAATTTAATCAAAATGAACATTTTTGTTCTCAGTGATGCAAAAATCATTCATTATTGAGTTTTGTGTCTTTTGTTCGTCACATAAACTGCGTTACATAAAAACTAACTTCATTTCATGGAGATCCAATTTATCATACTGAGTTCTTTAACAAAATAATCGAAAGACAATGAACTTATTCAGTCTAC